GCAAGTCCATAGAGGGAAAGAAGTACCTTCTTGTTCTAGATGATGTATGGACAGAAAAAGATAGAGACTTTGAAGGCCTGAATGCTACTTTCAAATGTGGTGCTCCGGGAAGTAGGATTTTGGTGACTACACGTAAGAGTACTGTGGCAACCATTATGGGAAGTTCACACACCATTCAGTTAAATAATTTGAGCCGAGAGATATGTTGGTCTATCATTAGGAATATAGCACTAAGAGAAAAGGACCAAAGGACTCGTGAGGAGTTCAAGCCAGTTGGGTTGAAAATTGCAGAGAAGTGCAAAGGTCTGCCGCTTGTTGCAAAGACTTTGGGAGGCCTCTTGCGGTTTAAAACTGGTATACAAGGGTGGGAGCATGTTTTGAATAGTGAGCTATGGAGAATGGAAATTGTACATAAAGATGTTTATGTTCCTTTGTTGCTGAGTTATTATGATCTGCCCTCACCAGTAAGGCAGTGCTTTACATATTTAGCTCACCATCCTAAAGACATGCGTTTTTCTTCTTGTGATATGATTTCACATTGGATGGCACAAGGTTACTTAGGCTTTGATGATGATGATTCACCATTGGAACTAAAAGGCTTTGAGTACTTTCAGTGCTTAGAGGCTCGCTGTTTCTTCCAAGATTTTGAGTATAAATATGAACACCTTATCTGTAAGATACATGATTTGGTACATGACTTTGCTCTCTTTTTGACAAGGGGTGAGCTTATGACATTGGAGATCTTCAAAGGTAATGAAAGTTCAACGATGAATAGAGAAAGAACTCTTCGACATTTGACAGTGGTGGTAGAAAAAGGTCTCTGTTTTCCTGAATTCATTCCTAATGCAGAAAAATTGCGAAGTGTTGTGGTTTATAGTAATAGTAGTGATGATTGTGCTGCTATCAGTGAAAAGGCCATGTGTAATTTGTTTAATCAAGCTAGACGCTTAAGGCTAGTGGAGATGGTTGGATATGGTGGTTCAACTATTCCAGAAGAAATAAGAAACTTATTGCATTTGAGATACCTTGACTTGGGTGTTAGCAGAAACCTTAAAAGGTTGCCAAAAGCACTCTTTAGATTGTACAATTTGGAACATTTATATTTGAATTACTGTTATAATCTTGAAAGACTGCCCGATGAGATAGGAAATTTAGTCAACTTGAAGCTTCTTCAAACCCCAGGTTGCAACAAATTAGCTTGCTACCCAAAGGAAGTTGTGAGATTAACTCGACTTACCCAATTATTGGGGCTCATTGTGAGAATTGATCGTGACAATCCTGAAGAGTTTAGCATTGGAGATCTAGCAAAGTTGAATAAACTTCTCGTGCTTTCTATGAAAATAGTGGGAAATAAAATCAATGTGGGCGAGGCTAAAAGGGTGAAGCTTCAAAATTTGCAGGAGGTGAAGATATTGGTGGATGGGGACATAGCGGAAGGTGAACATGTCATACTTGAATCCTTAAACATGTCCTCTGTACCAAGGTACAGATTTCAAACGGACTACAATATGGATGACGGCTTCAATGAATCAAGAAATGAATGGTAGGTAACTCTTTCTTTAACTCATTCTTTGTCAAACATTATAAATATTTAATTTCCTTCTTTATATATTAATCAAAGGCTTTGTGTTGCAGTCTTTACTATAGCTGGGCGTAAATGAGAAAGTTGTTGGCGATGATGATGGTGAAGAGAAAAGATGTCACCTCCTGTACTTCTTTTCCTTTTTGGTACACGTTCCTTGTTGCAACAGACATTGCGTGGTTTCTTATTGTCTAAATCTGCCATGGTTTATTTTCTTGATTTTATTTGTTTGTTTTTGTTTGTGAGTGGTTTTATATCTTGAAAATTGTTGAACATTAAGGCTCTGGATGATTTCCCATAATAGTTATATGTGTGGTTTTCAGATTGATTATCTACATAATTTGCCATGTTTTTTTTTTCTTTTTATTTGTTTTACATTGAGATAATGATTTAGTTGCTTATACTTCGTAAGAGAAGGTATGATAACAACACTTTTTTTTCTTTTTCATACTTTTCATCAACACTCGCGATATTATTAATCCATATAACATGTGTTTCTTTATCATTTATGTGTAATAAATTAAGTTTTTAAAATTTAAAATAATTAATATATGAACCAATTACTTCATAAATCTTAAAAAAGAGTGCAAAAAAGAGATGCTAGTTTTTCTTTTTCATGATGTCTAGCAATGTATCGAATTTTTTTGCTTTTTTTTAATGGTTAGCGACATATCATCAGTGTTTTAGCTTTGTAGTTTGTATTTAGCAACAAAGGAATTCGGTCATTGGAATTTGGAGAGGCTACAAACAATCAAACGTCATGAAGGAATTAGATACATTAATGTAATCTACACGGGCTGGGCCTGCTGCGTAAAAAATACTAAAATAAAATAAACGGTCAGGAAAATTGTAAAACTATTTGGGCCAGTGTAAGACCCATTATGCAAACTGAGATTTAATTAGCCCGAGACGAAGAGATCAAGATATCTCTCTTAAGGTCTCTACTCTTTTGAGCAATCTACTAGTTTTAACACTTCCCAAATTGAGAACTTCAATGTAGAAAAGGCATCAGCGTATTGTAAAAAATATAAAATTAAAAATAAAGTCATGATTCTCAAATTATACCACCTTGCTTAAAATTTGAAAGAATCTGTACCTATATTGTAAAAATAAGGCATATAAGATCAAATAAAATGGAATCCACAATTCAAAAACATATCATTATTTACCATCATTCTCAAATTATCTTAAATATCAAACCATCCAACACTAAACATTTAAGTGGCAGTAAGCGTACAGAAAGAAGTTTATCATGCAGAACATGGTAGGGGACAGGTTCAAATATGTCCACTAAAACCTATTGCAGAAGGATGAAAGGCTTCTCTACAACTAACTGTTTCTGCATTGCAAGGTGAATAAAGAAACTCAAAATCAAATGAAGAATTGAAGGAGACAACAAAGAGTTTGGAATCATTTAAACAAGCTAGGATCAGCTCTTGAGTCACAGATATCATCACCCCAAAATAATAGATTCACAATAATCTGAAAAAACATAGACATTATAGGCAATCCAGCAACAAAGAAAGTAAGTTACCATCCCAAAATTCTTCGGATTTAAGTGATCAAATTTAATTTCAAAGTTACTTTATCTTATAAATAATAGAATTTCACCCCATCTCCTTAGGATCACAAAACCCTAATATTTCCCCGTCCACTACCAACTACGTAGAACAACAGCTATCAAACAGAAAAAATTGTATGTATTTTGCGGAAATATTGAATGCCTAAACATCTAAACCCCAATTGACGATTTTTATCCAAAAAATGCAGAAACAGTGAAAAACAGAATTCGAAATTCAATAGCGAACGATGAAATGAAAAAATTTAACGACGACTCAGAGATCCGTAGAGAGAGCGAGGGTTGAGGCTTGGAAGACTGGATCAGGGAGAAAGCCGTCGCGGTTTTCGCCATTAGAGGTTGCAGAGAGTAAGTGAGAGTGGGAGAGCAGCGCGAGGTAAAGAACAAAGCTTTTCTGACCATTGGGGAAAAAGAAGAAAAATGGAAAAAAAAAAGTGAAAAACGAAAACTCGGCTTTTCGATTTCTTTTGTGCATACACTTCCAATTTAAGTACTTATATTAAAAATATATATACGAAGTCCTAATATTTTATATAATAAGATTTTACATAATTATTTAAATATTTTTAATAAATTTATTTAAAATATTTAAATTAATTTATATTATTTTAAATATTTTAAAAGTTAACGCAACTCAATTTTTACGCATGCCTTACATTAATTTTTTTTTCTTTTTCAAACACCATAAAGGCCGTCGAAGTTATGGGTATGTTAAATTTTGGTGATGAGCTGAATTTATATATATAGGTATATGAATGTGAAATTTTTGTTTTGATATTATTAATATTTGGATGAATTTTATGAGATTTATATGATTTTTATTTTTTGTGTAGAAAAAGATTTTAATGCATAATAATATGAGTTTTTGAGAATAATTAAGTATCTTTTGAAAGTTGAGGAACTGAATTGCAAGAAGAAAGGTGCTTCTTTGGGATCTAAATGAATGAATCTTAAGTTTTGTAATCTAAGTGCCCATTTTACAAAATATGGAGGATCAGATCTGCTATTTTACCATTGACAAAATTGCAAAAGAGGTCAGAAACCCACACCGGTGTGTGTGTCCACACATAATCCGGGTGTCAGCACCATGCCTTAGGCATTCAGAGTTAGAGTTTCTCCTTTTTGTTCTGTGTCCATACCTAATTCAGGCGTCAATACCATATGTTCAGCGTCTAAAATTCACGTTCTCTATTCTATTCTAAATCCCACTTCTGCTTTAATGGGATTTTTTAACCTCTATAAATACCCATTAAAAAAGTTAGTTTTAGGACTTTTGGGAGAAAAAAGAGAGGAATTCAACAATAATAATAAAAAAAAAACAAAGTTTGAAATTTTATATTACCAATCTAATTTTATTTATCCTCAAATTTTATTCTATGATATTAAATATCCGTACATTTATTATAAAATTGTTGATTTTTTTAAAATTATGAACTGATTTAGTCATTTAAAACTACGATATAACTTAATCAATTTAATATAAAATTTTATAATTTTTATACTTTTAAAATTTATTATTTTATGTAAAATATATATTATTTTTAATACTTGTTAATGATTAGTCACCATTAATTATGAACTGATTTAGTCATTTAAAACTACGATATAATTTAATATAAAACTTTGTAATTTTTATACTTTTAAAATTGATTATTTTATGTAAAGTATATATTATTTTTAATACTTGTTAATGATTAGTTACCATTAAAATTGATTTGAAGAGTATAATTGAGACCGAAAAGAGATTTTATACAATAGTTTCTAGTAATATATTTCATGAATTGAATGAATGTTATGAACCAACATGATTTGTGCAGTATTAGTGATAAGTGAACTTAATTTTTTACGTAAACTAAAGAATTTTATAGAATATAATATAT